GGACCCGTATCTCAAACCACATAAAAATAAATCTTCCCTCAACATAAATATAACACAATCAGCCCTTCATATGCATAGATTCTCCAACTATGAAGTCATACAAATATGGATGTAAAATATCGCAATAAATTCCAAAGTTTAAAAGTGGTGAATATTGACTTTCACCGGCTGGTTCTTCTTTACATGTCACCTCCATTATATCAGCTATGACAATGAATCATGTGCTGTGCTAAGTCACTGACTCATAGATTTCTAAGCATCGCTCACAATACAGATCTGATTTCCAACATTAGGGTTCTTTCAGTGTCCTTGAACAGCATTTGTTGCTCTGTATATACAGAAGGAAAAAACTCATGAGTATCAAACTTGTTCATGTAAAACGAGGGTATGAATTGTCATCTTCCTGACCCAGGGATCAAACCCACATCACTTCCATCTCCTGCACTGGTAGGCAGATTATTTACCTACTGTGCCACCTAGGAATCGATACACATTTCAAGAACCACTGCTACCAGCTTCTACTGTTCATGACCGAAGTAGGAGAAAGGACATTGGACAAAGGACTCATAAGTGTACTCATAAGAAGTACTCATAAGTCAAGGAACTGTTAGGCTGGGTACTCCAGTTATTACTGGGACAAGTCAGTTCCTCCAATGATGATGGGTATACCTGAAAAATTGTTACAAATTCATAGGATGCGAGGTCTACACGATAAACGTGTTCCTCTTATGCTACTGCTTCAGGTATGCCTACTTCAGCATGAAGGACTGCACTTAAAGGGAGGCCTACTATTCCAGCTCAAGCAACAGATAGTGAAGGGCAGATCATGGACCTTTGTTGGAAATAATCAGCAGTTTGTCAACACATGTCACATGCCAGAGCAAGCCTTGGGATGGAACTCTAAAAACAGGTTAGGCCCTCTTTTTGCCAAGCCCTGTGATAAAATACAAATCAAAAAGAGAAAAACAATGATTTTGTCAGGACTTCCTCACCTTTTCTTTCTGGATGGAAGGAAGCAGACACTGAGGCCAGATGACTGCAGGATTGAATTGTGAACTAACACTGGGTGGGGTGGAAGCTCATCACTCTAGTAAGAATATGGCTCAATTAAAATATTTGACTTTCATTCACTTCATGTACATAGAGTTCGATAATCGTTCGTGAAGGAACGAAATAAGTTATACTTTTTCACACCTTCACAATCTCTTGGTTTACACTAATGTAAATTCCTAGTCCAGCACTTATACCATGAGTGTTACAGGTAGTAATAGTGCATAAATGATGATGAGCAATGACAGGAAGTTTATTTATTCTCTGAATTCTCTATTTTTATATAATCAAACAGTGAAATATACTTACAGATATGAATATTTCAGTGACATGTATAAATACACGTTGAGTAGTGCTATGATAACTCATAGTGTTTGCACAATAATGATCATGGTATTATGTATTTTTCATATGTTCCTTTTGAGATTCTGTTCCATTATATATTATCATAAGATATTCAATACAGTTTCCTACACTGTACAGTAGGTCCTGGTGGTTTCTTTCATATCTGGTACTATGTATTTGTTAATAATTCAAACAAAAACTGGTACACAAATATTCATAGCAACATTACTCACAATAGCCCAAAGGTAGAACCCATTCAAGTGTCCATCGGTGAGTGAATGAATATGCAACACAGGGTATATTCAAAACCTTGAACAGTATTCTACCATACAAAAAAATTAACTGAAATGGCTCGGCCACTGTGCAAGACATTACAGAAATTATTCCAAAGCTAACACATGGAATAAATATATAGTTCAAGTCCAATTCATGCTATGTACCCAAAAGGTTTGGGAAAGGGGGCTGAAAAAATGCATATTTCTGCAGTCATATTCACAACAGCATGATTCAAACTGGCCAACAAACAGAAGAAATGTCCATGGCAGCTAATTCCATAAACAAACTGTGGTATACACACAATGGAATATGATTCAGCCCTTAAAAGTCAGTAATTCTGACAATGCTACAATGTGGACGAACCTTATAGTCATTATATTAAATGAAATAAACCAGACCAAAAAAGCACAAACGTTCTGTGATTCCACTAGTATGAGATATCCAAACAAGTCAAATACAAAGCCAGAAAAAGCAGAAAGTGATTCCCAGGGATCGAAGACAGTTCACGTTTCATGGACCCCACCCAGTATCCCTTGGGGAAACTGACTTCCCATGATATCTCCAAAACCAATTATACAAATAATTGGAAGCCATATCCAATCAAATGAGTGTAGGCATAATTTTACAATTTACACCAACCTCACTCAAACTTCTCAACAGACAAAAGGCAAAACTGTATGTATGGTACCTCAGCTCTGCTTAAAACTGTATCTACAGTACCTCAACTTCGCTTATGAAATTTAACAACAACAACAGAAACACTAAAGTCTATCCAAAAAAGGATATAAAACACATATAACATGATCTGCAAAAAATTAGAAATTTAAACTGTGAAAAACCTTATTCACAGAACTTAAACAAAAGCCACGGAAAAATATATTTACAAAATACGTATCTGATAAAGGACTGTACTCCAACTATAACAAAAAATCTGGAACCAACAACTCATTAAAAATGTATAAATTTTAACACCTGGCCAAAGAAAATATACAGATAGTAAATAAGCATATCAAAAGTACTCAAAATCATATATTGATAGGAAATTACAAACTAAAACAACAGTGAAGTAGCACTGCACACCTATTAGATCCAGTAAACTCAAAAAAAAAAGACGGGTGCGGGGCTTCTCTGGTAAAGAATCTGCCTGACAATGCAAAAGACTCAAGTTCAACCCCTTACCCAGGAAGATCCCACATGCCAGAGAAACTTAGCTGGATTTTTCCACAGCTAAACAAGGCTCACCTGTGGCCTGAACACTACACGTCTAGCACTTAGTAAACAGCTTTGGAAAAGTTTCCAGACAAAAACTTTCACACAATTACACACAGCAGCTCTACTTGTAACAGCTAAAAACTTTCAAATATCAGGATGTCTTCGGTAGATGACTATGTAAGCAAACTGGGATACATCCAAAGTGAAGGGGAGCAAATGCTACCCCAATACATACTGCTTCAGCATGAGAATTAGTTGGACCTAATTAATTTTTTTTAAAAGGACACATGATCATCTCTGAAACCCAAGTTCAAGACGGCTATTCTGTGACTCACATTTACCAGAGAAATCTCATTTCAAAGGAATCCTCTGTATATACCAGATAGACGGATGACAGTTTTGTGAAACATTTTTTATCATCAATAGGGAAAGCTAAGACGTAAATCTGTACAACCACCATACCCTTGCTTTCCTTTAGTTTTATTTTTTTAATATTTACTTGTTTTTTTATTTGGCTGCACCAGGTCGACCTTTGTTGAGGCAAGCCAGATATTTAGCTACAGCATGCAAACTGTTAATTGTGGCATGGGAGATCTAGTTCTCTGATCAGAGATTGAACCGAGGCCTCCTTCTTTGGGAGTGTCCAGTCTTAGCCACTGGAACACCAGGAAGCCCCTGTTTTGTTTTTAGATGAAGATGCTATCTAAGGTGATATCGTGGGCCATTTCAGTCACTGACTCAGTTTCCTGAGTTTCTCCAAAGCACGCACGAGGTACACATTATTAAACTGGTTTGCAAAACAAGTAAAGGTCGTTTGCTACAACACTGTATGCTTACAAATATCTAAATGGTAAATAGCATGTGATTTATTTTTAATTACTATGGGGGGGAAGAATGCAGGATTCATACATGTTACAACATGAGTAAACATGAAAACCATCTTTAGTGAAAAAAAAAATCCATATAGAAAAGGCCACCCAGATCCCATATTCACCATGTCTGCTTTAAATTCATCAAGTTTGTCCAAATAACTGAAAATCTCAATAACACTATAAAAAAAGAAAAAAGGTTGAAGATGGAAAAAAATATATATTCGTACAGTTGAACAATTGCTGAAAGGGGAAGTGGGGCTGTGGATTACATTATAATGTAGAAACCATATGATTTCCTGATTTTGGAGATTATGTGCTGGTTCTGCAGGAGAATGCACCCATTTTGGATAAAGCACATAGAGTATTTTAAATGATGTGGCAAATGCGAGTACTTTTTCCCATTGCTAGGAGTTTTCTGTACATTTTAAATTACCAGAAAGTAAATTATGTTTCAAAACCATGTCAATACCACAAAAAAAAAATCAGATTAGACAGGCATGAAACTCACGCAGACAAAGTTCAAGGGAAGCTGTGATGCTCACCACCCTTGAAGGAGTCCACATGGAATGAAGAAGTACTGTGGGAAGTCTATTAGTAACCACCATGTCTTGGGTCCTCTGGATGACCTATTGCAGGAGAAACAGATTTTACAAATAAAATTTTCCACATAACTTCACAAAAAGTTGTTAGACTACATTCAGTAAAACTGAATCATTTCGTATCAATTTACAATCATATAAAATACTACAATTTAAAATCCCAATCAATGTACAAGAATCAGTTGTGTTTCTATACACTAATAACAATCAGAAACAAAAATTAAGAAAATCCCACTTATAATTGCATCAAAGAGAATAAAACATCAAACAACAAACTTAATCAGGGACATAAAAGACCAGTAGTCAGAAAACTCAAAAGCACTTATAAAGAAACCAAAGAAAACACAAAGAAACAGAAAACTATTCCAGGCTCATGCACTGGAACAATGAGGAATTAAAATGTCCATTCCAACCAAAGCCATCAACAAATACAATGACTGCAATCACAAAATGATATTCCATGCCATTTTTCACAGAAATAGAAATACTCCTAATATTAGGCTGCTAATATTGAACAAGACCTCAAACAGCCAAAAAGACTCTGAGAAAGAACACAGCTAGACGCATCTTCCCTAACCCTAACCCCTGGCCTTCCTGCCTATTACCCTCTCCAGGCCTTTAGGAAGCAATACACAAGCTGACCCTAACATACACGTGGAATGACCCCTCCAAGGGGCCAAAACAATCACATGAGTCTGCAGTTCAAAGGTCCTCTGGCATGCTGTGCTAAGTTGCTTCAGTCACCTCTGTCTGTCAGAGCCCAACAGGCACCTCTGTCCATGGGAATTTTCCAGGCAAGAATACTGAAGTGGGTTGCCATGCCCTCCTCCAGGGGATCTTCCCAACCCAGGGATAGGATTCCTGCATTGGCAGGTAGGTTCTTAACCACTAGCACCACCTGGGACAGAAGTGCATAAATGGAAATCAGGGAAACCCAGTTAGGAGAAGGGACTCAGAGGAAAGGAAGTGAGGGAAGGAGACTCTCAGTCACACTCAGAGAAGCCCGGCAGGTGGTTCTGCAGGTGGAAGAGGAGGAGGAAGCAGGCTGGAGCTGTGTGGAACATGAAAGAGGGAACTAAAGCAGGAGCCCCCAACCTCTAGGATCTAATGCCTGACGATCTCAGGTGGAGCTGATGAAATAATAATAGAAATAAGTGTTCGGTCACTCAGCCATGTCCAACCCTTTGTGGCTCACCAGGCTCCTCAGTGCATTAAATTCTTCAGGCAACGACAGTGGGGTGGGCTGTCATTTCCTTCTCCAGGAGATCTTCCTAACCGAGGTGTCCCACACTGCAGGCAGACTCTTTACCAACGGAGCCACCAGGGAACAGAAAGAGAAATAGAGTGCACAATAAATGGACTGCACTGGAAACATCCCAAAACCTCCCCCCACCCCTGTCTGTCAAAAAAACTGTCTTCCAAAAAGACTCCCGAGGTCAAGGAAGGAATTTCAAGTGTACTCAGCTGTCCCAGGTTGCTAGCTTAGGGAGATGCTGAAGCTGGGGTGTCCCAAGAGGTAGAACCTCCCTTGCGTGGGGTCCTCAACAGACCTCCGATAGGCTTGGTGATGATCGGAGAGATTTGTTTCATTTTTTTTAAAATATCCTTGTGGGATAAACTTAAAACTTAGCAATTCTCTTATAGTCTTCCTAATAAAAAGTTTTCTTTCTTTACTGATCTGTGACAATCACTGTTATACACCTCATAGCGTTGCTTACACTATGGATATAATTATGTGAAATTGAACTTATTCAATAAAAATGATGAAGCATCTGCCCTGTGCCCAGCACTTTCCAAGGGTTAGGGAGTACAATGAAAATACTCCATAAGATGCACAGCTGGTAGGCACATTCTTTAAAAAAGCGTTTTACATTTCCACCAATAGTTTATTCTCAATGTCAACACTTGCCAATTAATGATTATGCTGGGTAGGAAGTTCATTAAAAACCCAGGAGCCAGGGTTCCTGGAAGGATATCCCATTCTCCCTTGAACAGTCCTCCACGCTCTCTGGCTCTCAGTTTCCCCATCTGCAAAATCATGGACAACTAACTATAATTCATCCCTGGAACCCAAGCCTATTGAGGGGGAGGGGAAATACTACTCCAAGGCCTGGATGATAGACCAGATAGAAAAATATGTCATTGCTGCTTTTCAGTCAAACAGACAAATTTAATAAAGGAAGGAGCCCCTGGCCCTGCGGGATTTGCCTAGGGGTCTAGTCTGGGAAATTCTCAGAGCCATCAGGAGGTGGCTCCGAGCTGGATTTCCACAAACAAGAACATCCATGCAACGGACAAGCCTGCAGAGTTCTGCGCTCATCAGCCACAGGAAGGGACTGCCTCCCGACGGCCAGCAGCATTCACAAGTGAGCTCCTAAGGCCTTCGCCAAACAACAGGGGCACCTCTGGGTTTTGTTTCCCTCACTTTTCTGACTCTTTTCTTAAAAAAATGCACATTTCTTCATAGAATGCCACAGTGGAAGGAAAATAGGCCTTCAATTTTTAGACCTCAATTTGCAAAAAACTTGGAGCTTGTCTTTTTTTAATTAAAGCACCACATAATTTAAAATTTTACACGTTCTAATTATTCAGTTCCAAAACACCAAACTTATTGTACAGGGTCCCCATGGAAAGGCCCCCTCTCAGCAGGACAGCCACAGATTCCCCCATGAAGGGGCAACAAGGTGCCCTCCTCCCTTCTTTCCTGCCTGGGTGGCCACCAGGTTTTTAAATCCATGCACCCTACTAAGTTTCTAGGGTGCAACTCGTGGACCCTTCCCTGTCCCATCCCAGCAGGTGGTCAGGGGCCCGCTGGGCTGGGCCAGCCGGCCAGAACAAGGGTTGTGGAGTCCCAGCAGGTGAAATCACCAGGCAAGATAAATCACGTGGACTTCCTGCAGGCACTAGGCAGCTTGGGAAAACCGCGAGGGTCTAAACTCTATGCAAAGGGGTAAAGCGGTAAAGCGCTTGGCGCCAAAGCCAAGGACTTTCTGCGACCGCCAGGTTAGGGGGCTCCGAGACAGTGCCAACAGAGAGGGCGGAATGCGTGGTTCCCTGCTCCACCGAGCCCTAGTTCCCTTACCTGTTGTCCGCACCCCTCCGTTCAGCTCACTAGATGCCCATCCATGGGGACCCAGAAGCCCACGTTCCCAGCCGCAATGGCGACCCCTGAGAGCACAACTGGGACCCCCCGCCCGCGGCGCGCTCACGGTGCGCACCGCCCCCGACGCGCTCTCGGGTGCGCCCCACCCCTGGCGAGCTCACGGGCGCCCCGCCCCGGACACGCTCCCAGGTGCGCCCCGGCCCCGACGCGCTCCTGGGTGCACCCCACCCCGGCGGGCTCACGGTGCGCCCCGCCCCCGACGCGCTCCCGGTGTGCCCCGCCCTCGACGCGTTCCCGGGTGCGGCCCGCCCCCAGCGAGCTCACGGTTCACACCGCCCCCGACACGCTCCCGGGTGCGCCCCGCCCCCAGCGAGGTCACGGTTCACACCGCCCCCGACGGACTCACGGGTGCGCCCCGCCCCCGAAGCCACCAGGTTTTTATATCCATGCACCCTACTAAGTTTCTAGGGTGCAATTCCTGGACCCTTCCCTTTCCCATCCCAGCAGGTGGTCAAGGGCCCGCAGGGCTGCAAACTGCCAGTAGCAGGGCTGGGCCAGCCGGCCAGAGTAAGGGTTGTGGCGTCCCAGCAGGTGAAATCACCATGCAGGATAAATCCCTTGGACTTCCTGGGGACCTCGCTGCAGGCACTAGGCTGCTTGGGAAAACCGCGCAGGTCTGAGCTTTTTGCGAAGGGGTAAAGTCCTTGACCCCAATGACGAGGCCTTTCTGCGACCGCCAGGTTAGGGGGCTCCGAGACTGTGCCTACAGAGAGGGCGGAATACGTGGCTCCCTGCTCCACCCTGCGCCACCGAGCCCCAGTTCCCTTACCTGTGGTCCTCACCCCTCCGCTCCGCTCACTGAATGCCGATTGATGGGGACCCAGGAGCCCACAAAACAGGCGTTCCCTGCCGCAATGGAGACCCCCTGAGACCTGGGACCCACTGCCTAGGAGCTCGGAGGAGGCGCGCTCCGCCCCCGACGCCAGCCAGGTGTGCTCCGCCCAGACGCCCACTTCCAGGAGAGGCCCGCGGGCGTCGCTACCGCCGCCAGGTGAAATCCATCCGGGAGCAAATCCACCCCAACGAGACAAGCCACGCTTTGTATCAGCTGATCTGTCTATAATTCAGGGATAAAACTATGACTACAGAAAGGAAAAATGGCCTGACCTAGAATGGCCATGATATTCTATAGAACCAGAGAAAATTGGTTAAAATTTAAAAAAAATTTTCGTGGAAACTGTAAAGCTGGTTCTTTTGCATATGCAATTAAAAACAATTAGCTTGTTAGAAAGGCCTGCCTAGGGCAAAGCTTGAAGTTAACCCTTTCCTTGAAAAACACTGCCCACTTTGCTCGAGACCTCAGCCTTGGGCAAATGAGAACTTCAAGCCCCATCTCCCCCCACCACCACCACCAAAAAAAGGGAGGTCAAAGAGATATTTTAAATCTTAGATGGAAAACTAGAAGATCTCTTTCTGTCTGTCTGTGTGGATTTATGTATGTCTCAGTGTAAGTCTTCTTTTTTTTATAATATTGCTGAAGTTATAAGTGAGTTCTTATTTAAATAATCTAAAGAAAAGGAAGCCATTACAAATCAAACAGTTCTAAATACAAGAAAAAATTGATCTGAGTGAATTTTAGATTCATGTGAACTGGGAAATAGTCAATGTTAAGTATCTAGTATTTCTTTTTTTCCCATAACTCTAATACAGACATGTCTTAGAGTCACTAACAGCAAGCATAAACTGTCACAGTGCCCGGGTTCATTATGAGCTTAACGTTGCTACATTGTTATATCTGTCACAAGCTTGTCAACAAAGAAAGTACCTCTAAAAACAAACAAAAAAACTCCTTAAAAAATGTAAATGCGATATGAGCTTTTAGATAAACTATTAAAAATAATTATACTTTAAAATATCTGTCTATAATAGTCTCGATTGAAGGCAGAGAAGGGGATGACAGAGGATAAGATGGTTGGATGGCATCACTGACTTGATGGACATGAGTTTGAGCAAGCCCCGGGAGTTGGTGATGGACAGAGAAGCCTGGCATCCTGCAGTTCAAGGGGTCACAAATAGTCAGACACGACTGAGCAACTGAACTGAACTGAACTGACAGTAGTTTCTCCAGATTTTGGTTACCTGAGTTTCTATCATTGTGCTAAACTAAGTGATGACAGTGTATTAAATAGCTAGGTCATTTCCAAAAAAATTAAGGTTCTGAAACATTCACTACTTGACAGGACCTTCCTCTTACACAGAAACTAAANCCCTTACAAATCAAATAATTGTAAATACAAGAAAAAATTGACATAAATGAATTTCAGATTCACGTGAACTGGGAAATAGTCAGTTTTGAATATCCAGGTTTTTTTTTTCGCTGCTCTACTATAGACATGTCTAAGAGTCGTTAACATTAAGCACAAAATTTTCATAGTGCCTAGGTTTATTATAAGTTAAAAATTGCCATATTGTTATATCTGTCACAAGCTTGTCAACAAAGAAAGTACCTCTAAAAAAAAAAAAACTCCTAAAAAATGTAAATGTGATGTGATAAACTATTAGATAAACTATTAGATAAACTATTAACAATAATTACACTCTAAAATATCTGTCTGTAATAGTCTCGAATGAAGGCAGAGGAGAAGGGGACGACGGAGGATTAAATGGTTGGATGGCATCACTGACTCGATGAACATGAGTTTGAGCAAGCCCCTGGAGTTGGTGATGGACAGGGAAGCCTAGCGTCCTGCATTCCACGGGGTCATGAAGAGTCAGACATGACTGAGCAACTGAACTGAACTTACAGTGGTTTCTCCAGATTATGGTTGCCTGAGTTTCTATCGTTGTGCTAAACTAAGTGATGACAGTGTATTGAATAGCTAGGTCATTTCCAAATAAGGTTCTGAAACATTCACTGCTTGACAGGACCTTCCTCTTACACAGAAACTAAAGAGATTTTTCACTATCCATGAATAGTGTCTGGTGCCATCCTGAGATGTTCAGTGTAAGAAAGCAATTTTTTTGTTTTTTTTAGATATTATCACTGATACATATGTTCACCAATCTATAGAATGCCAATATAAAAGTCAGTTCTTGGTTGCTTATGGAAAATTTATGACTTGTTATTAAAGAAGGTATGAGCAATGAAATCGCATTTTATGAAGGAAAACAAAGTTCTGACTTACAGGTGGCAGTTTCAGGATGGGAGAAGCAAAGGAATGGGTACAGAAGGGGATAAGGAGGTTTTATGGAAAGTGGACCCCCAGAAAAGAGTTTTGTGCCTAGTACAAGTTTTCTTGAGATGCTGAACTGCCTTTGCTAATGGATTTTAAGTTTCTTGACCTCTTAAGTGATCTGTTCTAGGTTTACCTTTGAAATCTTTTGTTAACTTTGGCTAAGTGGATAAGTATTATTTCACAGTGACTTATGTGATCCTACGTGACTGTTATAAACCCTTTTGATATTTATGAACAAACCTTCCTAAATAATTGACTTCTAGCTAACTTTGGGATGCTTCAGAGGGCCCCAAGACCTCCGTAAGAGAGATATTAAACAACCTGAGTTCATTTGGCATGTTAAACTATATGGGAAGTGCTGTCAGAAGGAGTGATGAATCTTCCCAAGTTATATTATATGGTGGATGTTACTGTAAGGTATAGTTTGGGCTGAGGCAGAAAAGAAGGAAGGAGAGATGGCATTTGTAGTTGGGCAGGGGGTGATAAGTCCCAGATAGATACAACTGGCCTGGAACCGCAGGGCGGGACCTAAAGTTCGCTTTTGTTTTCTCCAAAGATAGATGATTCAGCAAAAGCCTTTGAGACTGTGGGTTTCTCTTCTAGGCCCAAAGACTCCTTCAGTTACTAATCTAGGTATCCTAGAAATTATGTGACACCCATGAAATTCTGATATGTCCTGGTGAAATGCTGTCAGTTAGAATTCTAGTTATCATATTAAAGTGTTTCAAGTCACAGCAGTGACCAGACTACTTTGTCAATTTCTATCTAATCAGGTTTTAAACATCCCTTCTATGGTTTCACACTGATGCCTTTGCAAAAATACTGCTACTTCAAGATATATGGAAAGTACTTTTCTAAGCTTACCCATAAACAATTTTTTTTTGTTTGTTATCTGGTAAGCTGGTACCAGACTGGAATTTAGTCTCCTCTCTAGCTTAAGAGAACAAAGTTTTCTTAGAATGAAGCTTTTGATCACAGATGATGAATTTCTTTGACTTTCAGTGATTTATATTTGTTTTTATCATCTGTTTTTTACTTCGGTAAACTAAATAAGCATTATTTAAGATTATAGTACATGTAGGATGGACCAAGCTTTCCCCACTCCTGCTAATTCCCCTAAGCCCTCAGATTCTTCTCATGGGACCAAGGTCTCACTTGCCTCCAGAGGGACAATCCAAGCTTTTTATCAGCTGATCTGCCCCTGATATCAGAGTCAATTTGAGCACGAGTTGGTCTATAATTTAGGCATGAAACTATGACTACATAAAGGAAAGATGACTTTTTTATGCAGGATGGCCATGATATTCCTTGGACCTCAGAGAAAATTGGATAAAATGAAATTTTTTTTCTTTGGAAACTGCAAAGCCAGTTCTTTCAACATATGCAATTGAAAACATCTAGGTTGTTAGGTCAGTTTTCATTCCAGTCCCAAAGAAAGGCAATGACAAAGAAAGTTTAAACTGCCACACAATTGGACTCATCTCACACGCTAATAAAGTGATGCTCAAAATTCTCCAAGCCAGGCTTCAGCGATACATCCACTGTGAACTTCCAAATATTCAAGCTGGATTTAGAAAAGGCAGAGGAACCATAGATCAAATTGCCAACACCCACTGGATCATAGAAAACCAAGAGAGTTCCAGAAAAACATTTACTTCTGCTTTATTGACTATGCCAAAGCCTTCAACTGCATGTATCACAATAAACTAGGGAAAATTCTGAAAAAGATGGGACTACCAGACCACCTGACCTGCCTCTTGAGAAATCTGTATGCAGGTCAGGAAGAAACAGAACTGAACCTGGAACAACAGACTGGTTCCAAATAGGAAAAGGAATATGTC